TGCAGCTATATTTAATGTAAAGATGACATGTCCTATATATATATATATATATATAATGGATATGTTTGTGCCTATATTTCACTCTACAGCCAAAACTACACTTTGCACATGAATGGTGTTTGTGTGTGGTGGTAGCCCCAAGTCTCCCATCATTCATGCACTATGGTGGTTGCGTATAAGGATGTGTGTGATATGGGGATTGAAAGTGATTGACTTCAAAAATGTGTGACGCTTCAATGAAAATGCTCCAGTTTTTTCTATAAAGTTCTAAAATTTTCTGGAATATTGTAGAATTCTCACACACATTCTCTGTCCTCACTCTCATTCTCATTCTTCACCCCTACAACCCTCTCATTTCTTTTTAAATTAATAATACATTATAGTAGATTTTTTTAATAATCAAATAATAAAAAAAATAAATGATAAAAACAAACAACGAATATTCTGGAAAGTTTTGGATTACTTTAATAATTTTTAGATCCTTCAAGAATGTTCCATAATATTCTATATTATTTCAGAAGCTTTCGAACGTTTCCAGAAATTTTAAATATTTTATGATTAAAAATAACTATTTGAATTTTTTTTTCAAATTTTCTTTACCAAACATATTCTGAATAACTTCTTATGTACAAATAATTTTATTTTATTGGTTTTTATTGAATTACTAGCTTACCCGTCGCTCATTGCTGCGATCTCAGAAGAAACAAAATTCAAGCAAACTCGTTATGATAAAATTAAATTTACATTTTATCATTTTTATTGAAACTTATTATTATTATTATTATTATTATTATTCATTTTCATCTGGAAAATATTTCAAAGTGTCGTTTCAATTCTATTTATTTATTGGAGTGCTTGTGGATATACAATATTTTTTGTTTTTCCCGTCTGGTGCGTACACGAATAAATCAGGTTTTCCGACACATGAGCACGCCACATACAGTTGTACATGTGAGAAGCACGGATTCTTTAAATTTAGCCCACATACTCACAGAGATTGTCAGAAGTGCGATATTCCCCATTTTTATATATTTTTTTAAAATCCTTTATAATTTTGATTATTTAATTGCTCCTTCCTCTCTTCCTTGGCATGTTGTGAAATTTCTGATAGTTGGATAATAAACCGTTTTATTGTAATTTGTCTTTTTAAATTATCTTGAGTTGATATTAAAATTTTGAAAAGGGGGTCCCTAGATCGGTAAAATAGGCGAATTTCCAGTTAAAACCTTAACTGTATCCTGAACAACAACTTCAGTTGTTGTTCGGGATACAGTTAAGGTTTTAACAAAGTTTGAGTGAATACATAATTAGCAAAAAAAAAAGTTGAAATAAAGTGATTAAACAAAAATTATTACAAATATCATAAATAACAAATGCTTATATAGAGATATTTTTTGGAGGGGGGAAATGATCTTCAGAATTTGAAATGCTCGTATACACGCGCACCATCTATCATATGATAAATGTACTATGCCAGAAACCTTTGTGGGAGTGTATTAAAAAACTTTCCAAAGTTTCATGGCAACTGGATAAACAGTGTGGTGATGCATGAAGGACGGACACACACACACACACATTCATTTATATATATGTAGATTATATGAAAAATATATTTTAGTTAAAATGTTTTACAATATTCAGAATGTTGTAAAATGAACTAGGCCAGAAGGTTTGAAAACGTTTTGGAATAGTCAAGGACCGTTGTGTGAGTAGTGGGGATGGCTTTTGGCGAAGTGTGACGCACATGCTTCAGTTGATTTTTCATAAGTAAAAGTGTACAGTAACAGAAAAAAAGTAGAATGTGAATAGTGAAGTGTGAAAAGTTAAAATATAAAATACAATGCCAAAGCATAAGAAAGAATTTTCTTGGTCTCGAATCATATTGCAAAGGCAAAAGATGGCTCAGAGAAATGAAACCATGGAAGAAAGAGAAGTACTGTACATCTAACATTGCTATGAGAAAATTATCAACAAAACAGAAATAATAGGACAGAAGAGCAACTTGAAAATTATAGGGAAACACATCGAATCAGAGAAAGATTACATAGAGGAAGAGAAACAAGTGCACAGTTGGATGAAAGAAGAAAGCAGAGTAGAGAGAGAATGAATAACATTCTCTGTATAGATGAGCAGGGTCAACATGCAATTATTAGAAACAACTGTACACGCCGTACGCGAAAGACGGCGAGGAAACTACAATCTTCAACACGAAGTGTTTCGTTATGATCCAACTAAAAATTATAATGAACATCCAAGTGTAATTTGGATGTTCATCATAATTTTTAGGGGCGAATGGATCAAGTATGTAAGTTTTGTAAAGCGAAAAATTTCAACCCAGCAAAGCAGGTACTTNATTCGTATATAAAAACAAGAAGTCCAGTAACATTTTTATCTGAATTAAGGAGTAGCCTTCAAGTATGTGTTTTATTATTATTACTATTAAGTATGTTTGCAAAGAAAATTATTAATAGTTTAAAGTAAAACAAATTTTTTAAAGTTATCCTATAATTGTTAGATATTATTTTGTTTTATTGTGAATAAATTTTAAAGGGTTTTTTCTCTAATACAAAAATAAGTGAAATTAAGTTACTAATTATATTTAAAACTTTCAAAAAATCACAATACTATATTTACTTTATTATTTGGTTTTTTTTTTGTCAGTGTGTTCTTACCAAGATAGTTTTCATAATTGTTTTGGACATTAAGAAAGAATAAACAAACAAATACTTTGTATTATGAAAAAATTTTATTTTTTTAAAGTTTTCTTAAAATTTTGTATTTTATTTTAAAAAATAATTCAGTAATAATTTAAAAGTATACTTAGTATTTTGGTAATATTTTTCATTTTTCAAATTATTCTATTGTCTAGATAACCACATTCTTTTTATGTAGCCTTGCTGAATGGAGTATCATTTTTTTCTGATAACTAGAATGCTAGTATTTAATTTTTTCAAACTTGGAAGAAACTGTTGTTTTTTACTTTAATTATATTTTTAGAATTGTAATTGTTTTTAAAATTAATACTTGTGGTTTTAGAGTATTGAAAAAAAAATGTATTGCTGGTGATGAGAAGAAACAAGTAGCCTTCATCTAAATCATTCTATTAAATACCTATTTTGAGTTTTTTATTTGGTAAAACTAAGAAAAAATGACCATGGATAAGATCCATATACTGCATATATTGCTCTGAGAATTTTTCAAAGCTATCACTCATATAAACAATAAAAACAGTATTTTATGACAATGTTATTTGAAAAAGAAAAAAAAGTTATAAATGAGGTCAGTTTTCAGTTCAAACTTTAAAAAGACCTCTGTATTCCAAAAATTAGTGCTTTGTGTACAGTGAGATATGGATTGTATAATTTATCATCACATTTTACTGCTTAATAAAACCTTAAATTCTGGTATCTGCTGTTGACAGTTAGATTAAATAAACAAAGGTTTTAAAGAAAACATTTGCATCTGGTTAACAAGAAGAGAATCAGTTGTCTTTAATGTCCTCCCATCAATTTGATGATGACAAAAATTAAATTAATTGAATTGAAAAATTGTAGATTATCTATCCTATTTATCTAACTTATCATAATCCAACTTTTAATTAGGTCATTAAAAAAGTCATTTAAATGATTAAAAAAATAAAAGCTGTGAAGAATTTAAGTTATACAATTAATTTTTTTGAATAAAGCCTGGAAGTTTTTTATATTGATTTCATTAATAAACTTATGGAACATTGCAAGAAAGTAATTCTGTATTATAAGAATGAAAATATTTGTTGACTGAATAAATGTATTTCAAAAATTATCATTACTTTTTCCCAAAAAAAATGCAAAAGCTTTCGATTCAACCCAATATATCATTACTAAAAAACTTTGTTTGAAATAATACATCAAACGTTTCGTTAAATTTTTTCTATATATTGTAATAGAACAGTACGGCATCCTTCATTTACATAAAACTGCAATGTATCTGACATGGAAAATAAGATTAATTAGAAATTTCTAAATGTTAAAATCACATTTATAGTACTTATATCATTATTAAAAAGTCTATTATAGTAGCACTCTCTAATTATTTTGAGCAATATATGAGATACAAGATTAAAAAAATTGAAAAATATCTACATACACATTACTCTATAATAATCAGTGTCATAATTTTCATAAAGAACATAGATTACTTTTCTAATTTACTAACCCCACTGCATTAGATTTTTATCCTTCTCAAACATTTTGAATTTGTCAGCAAGTTATCCAATGTTGTTGATGCTGATGGATTTTTTTTATATCTGATATATTTGCTCTTTATGTAAGCATAGTTATGCTTTATTTTTATTAGGTATATAACAATTAATCACATCTGTTTTCTTCTCTTATTAACATTGCCATCTTAGTTTTTGAAGCATGTGAATGATGAAGATTTAATTTTTTTTTAATAAAAATTTTAATTCCAGCACTTATTAAATAGGTATATCAGGAATAATTTCAAGGAAATACTTTGGTACAAAATCAGAAAATATGATAGTTTGATAGGTATTATTGAGGAAGTAATTTTTTTAAAAAAGTGTCTTATCAAATTTAATGGAAAGCAGTGTCATCAACACTATATTTTTTTCAATATATTTTGTGATCAGTAAGAAGTAACAGCTATACATTTTTAACAATAACAATAATAATTAAACCATTAATTAATGGTTGCAGTGAATTTTAGTAGTAGTATTCACTAATAAAACAATTTATTTTAGTCATTGCAAAATAGATTTAACAAAGAATTATATTAACACACAAAAAATTTTTTGAGATTAAAAATTAGATGAAACAATTTACATATCATAAATTTTTAATTTCAGAAAATAAACAGAATGCATAAGTTGCTTTTTGTTTAGTTTTTGCTATTTATAAAGTGGATCGACCATTTTGAATAATAATTTATTTAATTTAAAGGAATAAGATTTTAAAATTATTATTATTATTTTTTTTTTAGCTGTCCAATGAACCAGGGCTTAGATATAATATACCTTTGATAAATGCGCTTGTATTATACGTTGGTACTCAAGCTATAACTTATATTCAAAGCAAGGGATTGACACCTAGTATGAGTACAATAACACATTCTTCTCATATGGACATATTTCAAAATTTGGCTGTGGATTTAGACACAGAAGGTAAAACAATTGTTTAATTTGAATTTATTATTATTAAATTTCTAGATATTTATTGTTTCTTTTTTCTTTCTAGGGCGCTATTTATTTCTCAATGCAATTGCAAATCAATTGAGGTATCCTAATAGTCACACACATTATTTTAGTTGTACGTTATTGTATTTATTTGCAGAAGCAAATACAGAAGCTATACAAGAACAAATTACAAGGTAAATATCAGCAAAGAAAATGAAAACTTTTCACAATAGTACTTGAATACAAAATTTAATTAACTGTTACAATTGTAATTTTCAATAATTTGTTAAAGTGTAATAGTTTATTAAATATATAAATATTTTCTAAAAAAAAAAAATATGTTTTAAACTGTAAGAGGATATAGTTTTAATATTTTAAAGATTTAATTTTTACATTATATTAAATGTAGAAAATTATTTAAAATAATACATAAAAAGAAATAGTTACATTTTTTATTTTAAATTTGTTAAATGAAATTTGTCATTCCTGAAATTTATTTATTTAAATAAATCACATACTATAAATGTGAAATATTTTGCAAAAACTGGTAAGTTTTAAAGTGATATTTATAAATTAATGTGTTAATGTTAATAACATTAATCAATCAGTGATGCTATTTCAACATCATGTTTTTATAGCAGTGAGTATTTGAGTTTAATATTAATAGATTGACTTAACAAAGTGATCTTTTCTTTTTTAAATACCGTTAGAAACTTCTAGAATGGCTGTTTTGTAAAATTTGAGTTTTTCTAAAAGATATATGAAATAAATGTAAATTTGAATAATTAATTGTTAAAATTTCAATTAAAAATTTTGATATACTTTTATAGGGTTTTATTAGAACGTCTTATTGTTAATCGCCCACATCCATGGGGCTTATTGGTAACTTTTATTGAACTCATCAAAAATCCCACATTCAAGTTTTGGAATCATGAATTTGTAAGATGTGCTCCAGAAATTGAAAAGTATGTAAACTGAAAAGTAAAAAGTTTTATATTTTATTATAAGAAAATATAATGCAATTTTTTTTAATGTTTTTCTTAGGTTATTTGAATCTGTGGCACGTTCTTGCATGCAACAGAAGCCTTCTACAGAATCAGCTAGTTCCTGAAATCTGTAAATTTTGAAATTTTGACAACCACCAGAAGTGTTTTGTCTCCTGCTTTCTTAATTGTGATTATTAGGACTGATACTCAATTGAAGAATAGGAGAACTTAACATTTGCCATTATCGTAATGAGTAAAATATGTATAAAATATTGACAATTTTATATATTGTGAAAGCATTTGTAAGTAATTTCTTTTGAAAGGTAAATATAATGTACAAACATGTTTTAAAATGTAAAATATTGATTAACTTTGATAGTTCAGATTATTTTTCATCAGATGTGCATTTTTCATTTCATCTAATGTGATTACATTCATATGTCATATCTTGATAAAAAAAAAGAATAAGATTTTATTTGAAAATAAATGTAGTTTGAATATTATTTCTAAGGATTATTTTTATTAGTAATATATTTTTATACATCATAATTTTTCATCAAGTCATGATTGTGAACAAGTTCAATTTATTTATTTATAAAATATACTATAAAAAATATTTAACTAACTTATAAATTTCTTTATAGCAAATATAATAATTTTATTATTAAATATCTATGTGGAATATATTGGGTGGTATGAAAAAAATTTTGGTTTCATACCCAAGACTGAGTTTAAATAACTTGGGGAGCAAATTTGTTTGGTGAGTTCTTACTTAAATATGGTATGAATAAAAAGAACTACATACTTGTGAGTTTATTCTTTGATAAAATTTGATGTCTAGTTGTCTTTGAAATACACAAGTACATGTATACTGGCTGGTAATTCAATGTAAGAGAGAGAAAATTATTTAAACTGTTGTAATTTTGATGAAAGAGACTGCAAGTCAAAATACAAATTTTAATTTGAGAAAATATTTAGTGATTATCCAATTATTTCTTGAGAGAAAATTTGGAGTGTTGAGTTGAAGCTTTTTTGAATGAGCAACACTTTAGAATCTACGATATATTGACAATCCAGGTTTTGAAATCAATATGACTAAAGACATATGCATTGATCAATTAGTTCACACTTCGAAAAACAATTGCTTTAATGGTAAAAATTACCAAGAGAAATATCTGGATAAAATTTTCAGTGAGTGAAGAATCAACAGAAGAAACTAAAGGGTTATGTTAAGAGATCACTTTCTGTGCTGTGTCAAACTGGAACTAATGATAGCACACATGTTCCAGTATCGAAACCATCTACTCAATGTGATGATACCACCCAACGTGATTTTTACTTCTGAGGAAATAAAGGAATAAATTCAAATTAAATTTCTAACATTAGAAGAAAAAATATATCAATTATTTAAACGGTTCAACAAGATTTTAAATGTTCATTCATATGATCAACTTAAGCAGTCACATATTCCATTCATATAGTAATTTTTAATAAATGAGATCTAGCCCATCCAATAGTATGGGCTCAGAATAATTTATTTCCTTCTAATTTGGAACCATTTGGTAGTATAGGCTACTTTAACAATATGAGGTATTGTTAAAGTAGCCAAGTAGCTTACACTACCAAATGGTTCAGTTGTTTATTGAAATTGGAAAGTATCTGCAGAAAACTGGATATCTATTACTGTGTAGTCCCAAACTTCATTTTATCTTTATATTCCTGTCGCCTATTATATACAATCCTGTATTGTCTGTTCGTAAAAAAATGTGAGTATGTAGCAATAAGCCCAATATTTTGCAGTTTTTATATAGTTTACCTTGAAATATTGTCCAAAATCAGTTGTGTCAGGATCATCAACCAACTTTGTCACTGCTGCTTCTGAAATTAATTTAAATATTTCACCTGTTTTAGCAATGTGATTCATTTGTTCATCCTGCGCGATTTGTGCGCCTTGATTTGAAACTATAAACATCTGTCTTTAAGATTTTTTTCAGCAGTGGTGCATTATGATGCTATGGGCAAAAAAGAGCAACTGCCTGGTGTTCCAAACCAGTCTTTTATAAAAAAAAAATATATTCCCCAAAGAAAAATGTCTGAAATCAACACTACATAGGGCCCCTTAATTCGAATTCGCTTGGGCCTCATTAAGTTATAACGCGCCACTGTTTCTAATGTATTTTGGGGATTCAGAAGAAAATATAAACTAGTTATGTAACGCTGTATCAGGGTGTAGTCGGAGCGAAATTGTCTACGAGATCGCAATATACTGCCATCGTTCAAAGAGCGTGTTATGGGGATTATTGGAAACAGATTACCATCGATGAAAGGTCCCTGATAGCTATCGAATTTCACTAAAATAAAGAGGAAGAGCTGGAGGGCAAGCATTAGGGGCATATATGGTAGTTTAGTTGGTCGTGGGTTTGCGCCTGATCAATGGGCCGGTCACGTGGAGTTTACGTTATTAGCACCTAAATAGGGTCAGTTTCCTATAAAAGGCATTAAGGCTGGCGAATATTTTTGACTGTGGTTGTTGGATATATTTATAACTAAGGATCTACAGATTTTGCAATGGTTTGGGGGTTTTGGCGGTGGTGAATGTATTCTGGGTATTTATTTTGGAGGGAGCTGGCAGAGGTAACAGCAAGAATAATTATAATGAGCGTACGATTTTACCGCAGACGGGGTGGTAGAATATTTTGACTTGGAGGATCGGCTTGAGGTGGACAGGCGAGAAAAACTACCGAATTTACTATTCTGGGCGGCAGAGCTGGCCCTACCACAGGGCGAACGGAACAGCCGCTCCAGGCGCTAAGTCCAAGGGGGCGCCTCAGTAGTAAAGAAAATTAAAGGGTATAAATTAGGGCAACCAAGGGGGCGCCATAATAGGATCTCGCTCCATCCTAAAACTTGCCTCGGGCCGGCACTGCTGGGCGGTCCTGAAAGGGGGCCAGGTTTCAAAACTTGCCGCAGAGAAACTTTCGAATCGTGTGCCCCGGGTCGTTCGTTCTAACTGGCTCGAAATCCATATTCATCAGCAACGTAATTGACGATCCCGTGTCTACCATTCGCTTCTGAAAGCCCATACGATCCTACAACGCGCCATAAGCATCCCTCCGATTCTCTTCTGCAGTGATGACTGCCGGAATCTTGCACTCTAAACTTTAATTTCTAAGAAAAACAAGTGAAATTCATTTTAATAATGGTGTTGGTTACAGATTCCTCAGTTGCAGAAGCTACGTGATTAGAATTTATCGTAACGAGACTTTACTTTCCCCTTACATCAAGTTCCATATAATTTTATATTCAGTATTACTTTTTTCCTCCAAATGTAATTTAATTGTAAATATTAACATGTTTATAAGCGTTATAATTTTTTAAAAAATTAACCTGATGGAGCAATGCCAATTATTCGTGTATATAAAATTGATGAAAAAGGTTTGGTTTTATTCGTTTACACGGGTGATCTACCGAGGACTAACTATACAGGTGGATTCTTCAAGCGCATCTCACTTCATATGGACAAACTATTCGCGAGCTACTTACCCCAGAAGGGATTTGAGTCACGAAGACACCAAAGAAACAAGTCTTACTACGTTTATCCTCCGGATTATCGTTACGTTGGAAGCAGACAGAATAAACATGTTACGCGAGTTTCTAAGAATGGAGCATTGAATATGATTTTTGTGTTTTTATAACATTTTAAATTATTTTTTAATGTTTATCGCTTATATAATATAAAGTTTAGTGGACCAAATATTAATTAAATAAATTCTTTTCTAAGCTGTGTTGATTTTTATTTAGACTGTGTTTAGCTAAGTATTAATTATTAAAATCAGCTAAATTACAGCCCGATAATTTAGATGATCGTTTGATGTTTCTATATACATATCGGGATTCGCTATGGATGTTGTATCAATACTTATTTATTTGGCACCTGACCTCAATACATGATTTACGTTACTTTTAACTGGCGTTACAGACGAAAATCCAGAAAACCACGTGGCCAGCTCGTCCTGGCGAAGCGAACGATCGAACTTAGTGTTTAGGGAACTGAACCAGCTTGGTTACTGGTAGGCCTAACCAGGTGTCTTGTCGTTGTTTTAATGTTTTCACACTTTAGCCTTTAAACAATTAAATAATACCGTAGAACCCTGATAATGTGGACTAAAGACAGCCAGGATTAATTCAGATAAAAAATTACAAATATAGAAGATTTATATGGTAAATCACTTTTTATACCAAATATAATCATGCATATGAATATCAATTTTATGCCATTTATTACACATATAATGCCTAGAATAGTTTTAAGAATAAAAATATGTATTATTGTAGTACATTTTAATATGAATGGTTTCTCTAATTTAACATTAAAGTTAAATAATACAAGGTTAAAGTTATACAAATAATTCTATGGCGATTCTGTAAACATATCTCATTGAATAATGTGTTACGCGTTATTGTTTTTCACAAATTTTCATTCAGTCTATTGTAGATCATAGTTTATCGATTTAGGTCATGGCTGCCCCCGCTCTTTTAAATAAAATTGTGAGAGGCCAGATGAAATGAAATATTTAATTAATTACAACAAAATAGAGAATTTATTTAGACTAGCGCTTAAATTTCACATATTAGAAAAAAACAGATTTTTAAGCAAATTTAAACATTTCTACCTATAACATCCTTCAAAATTAATTTTAAAAAAAGAATAATATACCGTAAAAATATAAAATAATATATATTGTCAATTTAAATGTAAATAATAGAGCCCTATATTAACAGAGTATGGCCACTCTAACGCGTGGATGCCATCTTGAGGCCAAAGTTGCAGTGTCATGGCACTGTTTAGCATTTAAATGAGCAGAAATCAGATTCAGAAAGAAATTATATTAAGTTAAACATTTTTAGAAATAATTTTTAATTATGTTCGGAATAATTGTAGTTTATAAGTGATGGACAAAATATATAACAATAACAGAGCTAGAAGCAAAAAAGTGAAAATATTAAAAAATTATATTTAGCGGATCACATTTATTCACAGCGCTATTGCAATATAAATAAAATAAAAAATTTAAAAATATAATAAAGACAAAAATTATAAAAAAATAAAGTTTATTTTTAAACAAGAAAAACTCAAGTAACATAGTGTAACATAGTAATAAATAGTGATTATCTGCATTCCTTGCAAGGAATGCAGATAATCGCTAAATATCAATCATTTATTAACAAAACGGGTAATTTCCCTGTTACAGGGGGTGATACATTTGTTAATGTAAACTTCGGTTTATTGCTTTTCATTTTCCTTTTCACCATTCTTGAGTGACGCTTAATATCAAAGTACATTATTCATTTATTTTGTAATCAATTTTTATGCTTTTCAATAGCACAATGTCTTTATTCTGTTATTTTTTGATATTGCAATATTATCAATTCAATGTGTATTCTCATAAAAGTTCAATTTGATTATATAAATTGATTT